AGGGAAACACAGTAGATAAGGAGGTTTGAATTTCTCACATCAGCCCACCTGACACCAACAACCTTATCACATTCAAAGCCACATATATGATCTACTGTCCAGATGCTCAGTGTGAACTTCAGCAGGTTGTCTTGACTGTGTCTAAATGCCTAAATGCACTGAGATGTTGCAATGTGATTGGCTGTTTAGATTAATGATGACTAGATTAATAAGCAATTGAACAGGTGTACCTAATAAAGTGTCTGGTGAGTGTATATGATGGGTTTAAGTGACACTGCGTGAGCTGTCTAAGCCAATAGTGCCAAAAGAAATATCTAAAAAAACAAAACAACAACTCCAGGGTTTGTCAGGTGGCCACAGGCTCTTTGTCCGTAATGAGTTCTTTCTTTTTCCTGTCACTGACTATAATGTCAGCTGACATCAATCAAGCAGTACAGAAATTTATTTGTTAGAAAGCACAAGACACAGACCAAAAAAATAAATAAAATTCTTCTGCTTGAAAAAACAGCTAATGGAGCACGAGTCTGTGAGGTCATGTCACGGGGGCTCATATCAAACTGAGAGTGAGGTCACATTTTTAAGTGAAAAATTCATTTCAGTTCAATTTTATTTCTGTAGCTTTGAAGAAAATGTGTCTGAGAAAGATGGACTAATTAGGGGTAACTGATTTTACTAATTAATGGTCTAAATAAGTACCAAGAAAAAGAGTAACCACGAAAAAAGGAGACCTATCTCAGAATAGAATAGGATAGAGTGCATGTACATGTATATATTACCCTGAGTACTCCCATAGTACACCTGCAAGCCACAGCTTCCAGCGCTAGGATTGGTCAAAGTGTAGTTATACTTCCTGACACACTGATTCAATGCTAGCTTTCCAAATGGCAGTAAGGTGGACCCTCACATAATGGGAGCAATTTAAGCCAAGCTGTCAGTGGTCTTCATTGCAGCACCATATCTCAGTTTGCACTGCTTCATCCTGTTACATTTTTGTACAGTCAGACCACCAGTGCAATTTACTGCCTCATTCATCCATCATTCCTGAGAGAGCAGGCTGTCTGACACGTGCCACTGCTGAAACGCTGCCAACATCCAGGCAGAGGAAGGGCTTCACTAACAAAACCTATTGATCCAGAGGTACTTGTCTTCTCTGATGTGCTTACTTTACTTATAAAGATGCCAGTCTGTTACAGAGTCAAGGGGAACTGAAGGTGAAGGCTATTCAGTGATAGGCGATGCTTATCTGATAGTCTGGATGGAAAAAAAGAGGCAAAAAGAACACTCAGGTGGAGCACATGCACTTTCCAGCCTTTGTTGTTGTGTAACAGCAACCTGAGGAGTGTGTCACTTTAAATACATGTGGGGAAAAAAAGCAAAGCCTTCCCATCGAGCACCTTTGAGTTTTTATAATTTTCTTTTCTTTCTTTTGAACAACACTTACCATCGTTTTTTTATTTTATTTTAAGATTTGTCTGTGGACATGTGGATTATCACCATCACAATCTTGTTTTTCTGAAGTTTTCTGAAACACACAAGTAAAATAGGAGAATTTCACTCACCAACACATGAGCACAGACTTCTTGGATGAGCTGTCAGGACAATGAACTGCATATCAATCCAAATTATTTGTGAGATAACAACAGTGCAAATTCTCCAAAAAGCACAGTGCTGCAAAGCTTATCTCTTAAAATGGAAGTCCATGGATACCGACTCACTGTTGGTTAAGAACTCAAGCGGTCATTTGGGGGAGCTGCACTTCTTCTTTTTTCTTTCTAAGTTTTCATGCTCACATTAAGATGACTCAACTCCCATATGGATACCAGCAAATCTGCCAGAGACTAGGATGCTAAGAGAACAAACACTGACAAATATTTCACAAAGTTCTTTTATTTACAGTGCTTTCAGTTAAAGTTTAAGAGTGCAAACATGAATATATCATTCACTCTGACAATTGAGAAAAGTGCATTATTTGAAAAAGAATCATTTTAGATCATAATGTTGTGTGCGTGGTGATGGAAAGAGCAAATTTTTTTTGGTTTGTTAAATGCAAATGTTCTTTCCACATGGCACCTGACCCAGACAGTTGTCTGACAGAAAATACAAACAACGTGACTAAAAAGCTGAAATGAAACCACTCCGACCAGTAACTCGCTGATAAGAGACAAAATCAGATCAACAGTTGCAAATAAGCACAGGCATTTAAATATCTCTTTTCCAGTCTTGTTGTCCACTCACGGAAGTAGTAATTCACTGCTAAGGATTTTTATGATTTTAATGAAAATCAGAAGGTGCGATCAAAACAATGTAACCATTTGCACTGAGTAGTCACTGAGCTTTATTAAAGTAAAGAGCAAACATTTCATCAGTTTTCTGAAATATAAGTTATAGGATAATAAAAAAAAAGCTCCTGATCATTTCCTCTAAAACTGCAAAACTGCACTGAACTCTGCAAAAGATGTGCTCTCTGAATGCCTTTTTTGTTATTTTTGGCCATGCTCCACCAATCCACAAAGTTCAGTGAAATTCTGCTGGTATTTTTTTGCATAACCTTACTGACAAAAAGTTTTATATGCCTCAATCCCTATGGTTAAATAGGTAACAGAATTCCTCTCTTCTTTTCCTGCAAAAAGAGGACAATCTGACTGGCACATGCCTGTCCTGTGCTAGTAATGAAGCAGTAAAGCAGTGGGTCGGCAAGACAGTTAAGGCTTGATAGGGCAACGCTGATCTTGTAGGGATAGAGGATCCATGCAATGTTCCTGCAGTCATTAACCAGTATGCGAAGAAGCATCATGACATGAATAGGTCCGAAGCAGAACAAAAGGCCAAGAAGAACCAATGTTAATAGCTTTAAAATCTGCTTTTGTTCCTGCTTGTCAGTGGCCTGATTGGATTTTACAGCTGTGCAAATCCTCCAGGTGGAAAAGAACACTAGGAGAACTGGAATAATAAACCCCAGAAAGAAGCGCATTACATTAGCCCGGAGGAGAGTCGCTGACAGTGGACTAAAAATGTCAAAGCACACTGAAAAGTTTTTCTTTTCATGGTATGAGTCCTCCCAGGAGATGGTGCTGGTGTTGAAACAGACCACCAACAACCAAATGGTAACAGTGACTGCTGCTGCAGTGCTAACTTTCCTCCACCATCTGCACTTTAATGGGTGAACCACTGCTAAGTAGCGGTCAACTGCAATGCAGCAGAGGAGAGCTTCGCTGGTGTAGAAGTTGGTGAAGAGAATGTATATGGACATCACACAAACATAACGCCCATGGATCCAAACTCCTCGCCACAGGAAGTCCAACCAGAGAATAAAACAAACAGTGAAGGTTAGGTCACTCAGAGCCAGACTGAACAGATACACACCGAGCTCGTTCCTCCTTCTAATGTGCTGCCAGGATACGTAGAGGAAGAAGGTGTTGGAAGGGATGGCGATGGCGACGACAGCCATGTAGAACAACAGAAATGAACTTCTCCCGGCTGCGTCGTCGACCAGGTTACATTCTGAATGATTACTGGTCAAGGTTGAGTTTTCCATTGTAGAGGTTGTGTTCATATGCTTACACCTTGTAGAAAAATAAGGAAGCAATACATGAATGGATGTAAATACACAATACCTGTAAGAGTCTCTACCAAGTTCCCAGACCTGCCACATGACTACATCTCAACTCATGAAAGGACTTTTTAAAGTTGGCAAGTCTGACACCACTGGGAACTACAAATTATCAATGGAATGTGAAAATGGAGAACTCTACCTATGCACTATTTTTTTAAAAAGAGGAAAATTTACTACTTAGAAAGAATAGTTGAAAGATGCTGTTGAGTGTAAGCCCTTTTGTTTTGGTAGTTTAAGATTAAAAGGCAGAGTGTTTCAATTGTGCGGATTGATTTGACATTCAGCATGAGTGTGAGTCAACCTTATGCAAGTGCAATTAAATTGTTACAATAGCCTCGCTTTTGCAGCATTGGGTTGTTCACCCAGTGTTTTGAGTTCATGGAGTTTTTAGTTATATTTGAATATTTTCTGTTCGCTCTTAGTTTGCTTTATTTCCCCCGACCCCACTTTTTCCTTAGTAACCATTTATTTTTGTTTATATTGTTCTATATATATTTTCCCGTTTAGTCTTGTTCTCAGTTCCTGGTTGCTTTAGAGTTTTTTTTTCCCTATGTCAATTCCCCTGTAACAAACTCATTCGTGTCTGTTTCCCTGTTATCACGTTTCACCATATACCTTACTGTAAAACAATTTCCTGTCATTTTTACAAGATTTGTTTAGGCTTTGGTTGTGTGCTATTTCAGCAAATTATGAAAATGAACAAGCTTGCTACACTGGCACTGTGTTTCACTTTTCCTCACAGTTACATTTCCTGATATTGTCTACCACGAAAAACATGTGAAAAGTTGCAAATACAACTTTTCCTAAGTACTCTAAATTCTCAGTTATATTGCAACATGATAGAAAATCCTACGGTCACATTTTTATTGCAATGGAATTATTTGATAGGGGCTTGTTAAAGTTTTTTTTTTATAGTATTCCTTTAAACCATAAAGTCATATTAACAAAGTACTTACTCTGTATCAAGTTGTATTTCCACTCAAATTTCTATAAATTCTTAGAATAAAACCAATAAAACAGATGAAAGGCTGACGTATTCTGTTTCTTCGTCTTCACCGCTTAATCAATCTGCTAGAAAGAAGAGGAAGGGTCAGCAGCTGCTGCATTTTATCCTTAACAACTGTATCATTTACTGGGTGACAGGATATGACAAAACAAACTACAGGACCAGGTGATTTTAATTTAAGCCCATATGAAAGTGTGTGTCTCTGTTTGGCGTGTCAACAGACATGAACTCAGGTAGAGGTGATGCCAATAATCGTCCCATAAAGTGATAGATGTCTTTTCAGCTCGTTGTTTGAACAGCGCAGATATGTCTTTATGGTTTTGTTTCAATGACTGCACGCTCTAAAAGAACAGATGCTTTTTTTTATTAGTATCTCATGGAAGCATGAATAGCTGTCAAGTGTTATAAATACAAGTGGTTAGTAGGAAAATTCCACAGTGTGCTTCTCTTTGTGCAAAAATACACTCAAATATTCAAGTGCAGTGATACACAATAATACTGAACACTGGATCACAATGAAACTATTAACACCACAGCCAAATATTTCAAATTACACAAAGCACAGTTAAAATTAAACATCACATTAAAGACAAATATACAGAAGAAATAAAAAAAATAATTAATATGCCTAAACTTAGATCACATGTAGGTTACATATAGGTTGCACAGCCCCAAATAATAATTAGATTTTCATTATATTTACATTTTATGTTGAAAGAAGGGGAAAGAAATCATTCAAACAGAGCTTTCACTGTGCTTTCCACGCATAAAAAGCCACCTCACATTTTGTGCAGTTTTCTTAATCTCTGTCTTTGCGCTCTCATTGATTAGACAGTATATTATAGGATCCAGTGTACTGTTTAGCGTTGTGGTGGCAACTGTGACCATGAATGCACTTTTGAGCCTAGTTGCCCAGACGCAGGACCCAGGCTCCAGTATAGCCCTGAGCAGCATGACCAACTGGTAGGGCATAAAAGACACTATGTAGGTTAGAAGGAGTAGCAATAACAGCCATCCCACTTTCCTGCGCTCTTCCACTTGGATGGAGGTGTTACATTTGATAGAGCGCATGATGTTATGATAGCAAAAAGTCATGATGAAGGTAGGAACCAAGAAACTCAAGGCGAACCTTGTAAGGGCAACAGCGGCATCTTCTTGTGTCATGGGTATCTGCTGATCACACAAGTATCTTGAAGCTTGCAGCGCCCCCATGTGGTGAAGTAAGACAATGTGGATGGCAATCTCCAAAGCCCAGACAGCTATACTCACAAGCACTGCTGTCCTCACCTCCCTGATCCAGTTAAAGTGGAGTGGGTAGACCACTGCCAGATAGCGATCAGCACAGATGCAGCAAAGGAGACCAGAACCAACAAAAAAGCTGTTGTACATGATTACAGCCATGAGGTTGCAAAGTTCGTCACCTATGTGTTGCCCCATGGCCTGTACTATCCAAATAGGCAGAGTGACTGTGTATAGTAGGTCAGAAATGCACAGGCTGACAAGATAGACTGCCATGCTGTTCCCCTTCTTCATCAGCATCCAGGCCACATACAGAGACAGGCAGTTGGCTGGAAAGCCCACACTAAAAAAAAGAGAGTACGCCGTTGGATACATGTACCTCTGCACCGAGGAGTTAGCCGTGCATGAGTTTGTGTTGTTGGTGATCGTCGAGTCCATCCTGACACAGCGGTGACTGAAGCCCGAATGGGAAGCTCATTCGATTCGAGATCTGAAAATGCAAATAATGGGGAAGTGTTGTTGTGCTCAAAATAAAAACAGTGTTTGATGATTTACGGAAGCTGTCCTGTTTTTATAGTACTAAGCAAAATGTGCTCATCAAGTTTCTTAATTCCGTGTCTGAGTACAGGTGAATGTAAAATCCCACAAATGCAACAGAATTAGAAAACACTTCACAAGTATATGTTTGTGTTTTTTAAACCGTGGGACTGTTCTAAATGTGCCAAAACGTATTGTTTACTTTATTAGAGTGTCCCCATTCTATACACATTTGTATAACTTTCCAGGAACAGCATATATTTGCATGTCATGGCGTTCTGCCAGTGTAGCTCAGAGGATTCAAGTGGAATATGGCCATTGATGGGGAAAGTATAGACATTCTGTACATTAGTGGAAGTACGGATACAAGTGTTAAAAAAATACTCCAGTAAAGATTAAAACACTAATTAAAATACTAAAAAGGCCCACTGAACGACACAGGAAAGTATTCCCGTGGCCATCTTCCTGTAAAACTCCTCCATCTGATACAGTGTAAACACTGCAACAGTTACATCCTTTTTGCACACGCTCTTTTCTACTCTGTAATATTCCTGTTGACGTTCTTGATATTTATTTATAATCAACTCTGTCAATCCTTGATATTTATTATTGAGTGATCTGTGTATATTGGGCTATTGCTTAAATGTCTTAAATGTGTAACATATGCTATTGTTAAATAGTGTAGTCTGTTTCTGTTACTGTTATTTATACTGCAGCAACTGTAACCCACATAATTTCCTTAGGGATTAATAAAGTATGCTGATTCTGTTTGATTAATTCAACTTCTGAAAGTGAAAAAGAAAATAGGAATACTGTGTTTATTTAAGTCTAAAATCTAATTTTAATGTAGTGAATTAGATTTTGAGTAGGATTTTACGTGATGTCCGCGAATGCAGCACTGACATCCACACCTTCCCAGCTGATAATTAGAGGCCTTATAAGAAACAGCTGCGCTTCACTATGCACGGAGGCATTTGGTAGTCTTTTCTATCCAAGGTGGCTAAGCGCGTTAAGTGGTTAAGCGTTGCAGAGCGGTTTGATTTCTTCAGGAAAGCCGCTCATTCTAGTATTGCCCTTAGAGAGTGTTAAGTGGGACTCAGTCGTCAAGGGTGGAACTTGACGACTGTTTCCCTCTTTTGTTACAGAATTGTGCCATACTGCTGCTGTCTTGTTCAGTCTTGTTCGCTTTTATTCTGTCTTGTTGTGGCCTGTTGTCATCTTATGGACTGGCCTTGACTGACTCCTGGCTTTATAGTCTTTTACTCGGAATTGTTTGATATATTTTAATCTTGCGTTTATAAAGAACTGTATCTTAGGGTGTGTTTGTTTTATTTCTCTTTTATTAATTTGTTTAATGTTTTATGCTTTGTTTTGTTGCTTTAGTGGAGGTGCGGCCGCTTGTTGAGGGGCTAGGCACGTGAGATGGAATCCCCTCCCCGATGCGTGAGAGTGTACACACCGGGCATAGGTAGACTGCACCATTTAGATTTCAGTGTGAGTGACAGTGAGGTTTGCAGTGGAACTATACGGGTCAGTAATTGGTGGCACCCTTGGGAACTCCTCTAGGTTGCCTCCTCAAGTGGTCGTTCTCCACTATTTGTTTAGTTATTTTATTGAGCAGTTATTGTTCTAGGGTAGCATCGTGACAGCGAGCCTGGTCATTTTAATCACTGTTTGTTAATAAAGTCTTCTAATTAACAGTCTTGCAGTCTCAGCCCTGTTACCTTAAGAACTTTTCTGATTTTACAGTTCTGTTTTTTTAGTATTTTCCGTAATAAATTTTGATTTGTAAAATTGATCAGCCTCACCTCTGCTATTAATAACGAGCCTGTGGGCTTTGGTAGCTAGTGTAACATTTACATTGGCTATAGAAATCTTTCCTGGGGTGTAACTCTCTCCCCAGGTGGCGTTGTCAACATCCTATGGTCTCCTTAACTGGTTATCCTCCTTCGCGCCACCACATTAACAAAGGTACTCTGCTTGAATCAGTAAAGTAACGAAAAAAAAAAGCTTTATTTTCTGTTGCCTATATTGTAGAGGGTGACTTTGGTTCTAAACGGGAAAATGAGTAGGGAAGAGGTTTGTGGGATTCGGTAGGCAGGGGAGCCCTAAAATCTGCTTTAACTGCTCAATTTGGGGGGGGGAAGTCACAACTCACAATAATTTCTATTGTGGGCTCCAGTAGATTTTCTTGGTGTACAGGCTCTGATAACCTGATCTGCTGCTGTTTGTGGATGTACACAACTGAATTCAACAAGATGTCTGCAGATGTTTCATGAGTTGTCCTGTATTTCCATTCTCTACGCTGACAGTACACTACGTGCTGTCTTTTTTTTTTTTTTTTTCTAGGTGGCATGAAGGTGAAATCATTGATTGAATCTAAGCATCATCAGCTTAACTTCAAATTCATCTCTGCTACACTTAATGCAACTTAACTCTGACCATGAAACCACAGCCACACAGCAGTCACACACCGCACTTTACTTTGAATTCACCACAGTTCCCTCTGAACTGGCCCCTGCAGGGCCAGCTGGATACTGAAGTTCTGCAACCACAACTTGTGGACACCTGCAGTTGTCATGGTGCTGTGCCATCTCTTTGTGTGCCACATACCCTGTTGATTAATAGGTGAACAGGACTGCCTTTCATGTGTTACTGTTTAGGCTTTAATCTGTTTCCTGTTCGAAGTCCCACAGTGACCTAAAAATAACTGCCTTCAAATCTGTTAAACCAAAAGTAATGAGCCTGTTGTGAACATGTAAAAAGTGAAAGAACAGAAATTTGTTTAAAAATATAAGGAGTAAAAGTAAAAAGCTGTCAGAAAAAAACACTCAAGTGAAGTACAGCCTCCTGAAAATTTTAAGTGCAGTAACAAAATATTTTGTTCTTCGTTACTTCCCACCTCTGGATATTGCAATGTGCACTCTTGAGACAAAGCAGGCATAGACAGCCCACTAACCACATATCTTGCATAGAGAGCTGGTTCCTGCTTACCAAATAAAGGCTTGTTGGAGTTGCTGCTATCCAGTGTATAAAACTCATGCCATCTCTGATTTGTGGCCAGATCTGCTCTAAATGTCCCATGTAGTGCAACACAGACATTTAACTGTTGTAAAATTTAGGAAGTGCATTTTATTTAAAATGTTTTGGTGGTTTCTAATAGAATTTGACATTGCACAGATATAAAGTAACTGCAGACCGCTTATAAATCTGCAAAATGTTAATTTTTCCTATTCAAGCTTTAATTCCATACTTTTTGTCCACATCCTCACTTGTAGTGGGTCACTGGCCCACCAGGGGGGGCTCATGCCACAGATTGAGAACAGCTACTTTTAGCAGCTCACTGAACCTGAAGTATAGAGGATACAGACTTGTTTTTAAAAAGTGTAAGACTCGTGATGGACAGCTTAAAGAAGCATTAAAAGTAACAAAGAACCACACCACAGGGGACAAAAGTCTGGAACGTTTTATTAATTTATTGTCTACAAGTGATTAATATTGAGTGTTACATTAAAAGTGCTGTGAAAAAGAGGTATGCATTTCAGTGTCCAGCAGTGATCTGTGATTTTAAACCGTAAATAAACTACTTAAAGCATTGTTAATTGTATTTAAACTGTAAATTTAAGCTCCTAGGACCTGGCGTCCACATATGTGGACATCACATTTTAGGGTTGTCTAGACCACAATACTACGTTTTTTTTCTCTACAAGGGCCCAATATCCACTTGCGAGTACATATTGCTACTGTTCTATCAAAATTTAAAGCGAATGTCCTCATATGTGGATCTCATTTTTCTTAGAAATGAAAATCAGGTAAAAAAAAATCACATAATTCTTTGTTTTGTTTTGTTTTACAATCATCAGGTCCCAATCAGCCCAAAGAGAAATTAAAAATGCATGCCATGAAAGAGTTCAGGTCTTAGGAGGTTAAAACCCTTACATATATACACGCAGAGTTTCTTTTTGATGCAATGGGAATAGAAAAACAATACTTTAATATAATGCAAAGAAAAAAAATCCCTCTTTGAACTTTAAGTTCATCACTGAAACACTCCAAGTTGGTAGCAGTAAATCTGCATCATGCCACAGCACAGAGCACTCCAACTACATAACCATGCCCACAAGTGAAGTGGAAAATCTAACCATGCAAATATTATGTTAATAGTATAAACACTGTTAAACTGTTGCCGTCTCTTTTGCATATTTGTTTCATTATCTCAGCTTGTGTTTATCACATGTGCAATATAAAATAAAGGTGGGAATGCTATTCAATTATGAAGCAGGGTTATTATGGCATTAAATCTGAAATTGTGTCTAATCGATATCAATTAGAGGATGAGCAGTAGAATGACACATTTGAAATTTGAGCCTCATATCCTGTCATGCTACAAATGTCAACAGGATGTCAAGAGAAAGCTATACTGGATCACTGGTTTTGAAGAACAACCACACCCTTACTTGCCATTGAATTTTAACTTCATTGAAATTTAGCACAAACGAAAGCTCAAATATGGCCTTAAATGTAATTATTTGCAATTATAGTTTTATAATTATATTTTTCAAAATGTGACATCTAAACAAATACGGGTTCATGGACGGTTGGTAAAACAAAACTTGTTTGAGGTATGAGGTAATGTCTCCTGTTATTCACTCCTCTGTCAGAGTCTGACGAAACATGGAACAAAGCCCAAGACAATAAAAAGGTCCTACTGTGACTTTTCTTCTAACAGTGTATTTTCATTCTTTAACTTCAGGAGTGTTGCATGAATCACATTTCAGACGACTTGCTTGTTATCTTTAGCCTTTCCTCCATGCCAGCTGTCTTCTGCATGCTACTTTCTCTTAGCCAAAACCAGGAGTTATGTTCCAACTGGAGAAACGGTCAAAGAACGCTCAGACTTCACTACACCAAGCAGAGTCAGACTGACAGCCTTTCAGTATCACCTCTAGGAAATAAACATGTTATGGCTAAATATCCCTTTCTGAAGAAAAAGTAATGCATGCACAATGTTAAACAAAAAACAACAAACATTCAGATTACAAAAACAACATTTTTCTCCTTGCCTGAGTAAATAATTGTCCATTTAACTGGGTAAACCATCACAGCACACATCCAAAAGATCGCAGTCCCGCATATCACTTTGAGCTATGATCACAATTTAAAACTTGTCAGGCGTGTGGACAGTCGGCTGAAAGATGCTGTTTGAGTCTTGTTCCACAACATGAAGAGTTCCTTTGCTCGTTTCTGGAAAGTTTTCCCTACTAAGACGTAGAGAATGGGGTTAAGGACACTGTTGAAGAAGGCAAAGTACGTAGAGATCTGTTGGACGATGGTCAGTGTGATGTGACATTTCAGAATGCCAGTGTTTTGGAGCACATCTAGTATCTTTGTCACGTGGAATGGCACCCAGCAGATCAGGAATGCCAGGAGAACTGCCAGGATGAGAGTGGTAGCCTTCTGATCCGTTTTCTGAATGTTTAAAACCTCCATTAGCCTCTTTCTCAGAGTTTGAATAATTTTGACAGTGCAGAACAAAATAATGATAACAGGGACGATGAAGCTGAATGTTATGGTTGTCACCTCAGATGCCAGATATTGCTCTGGAAAAGTTAGGTTAAGTGAACAGTGAGTAAGATTTAACTGAGAGTTGAATTCTAACTTCCTGTAGATGAATATGGGGAGAGCAAAGACCAAGCCAAGACCCCACACAAACAGACATCCCAGTTTGGCATAAAACGGCCGGCGTATCCTCTCATGGGAAAGCGGGTGCACCAGTGCCACATAACGATCTATGCTAACCATAACAAGGAAGTAAATGCTACAGAACGCATTCATGTAGATAACAGCTGATGTCACTTTGCACAGGCTTTCACTGAAAGGCCAGTCAAATCCCTTTCTTGTATATTCAGCCCAGAAGGGCAACCAGCACACCAGAGCAAGGTCAGCTCCAGCCAGGTTGCTGAGGTATATCTCAGCCACAGTGCAGGCCTTCTTGTGGAGGCAGAAAACCATCAGCACAAACACATTAAAGATGATTCCAAGCACGCTGATGACCAGGATGTAGGGTGGAACTAGAGTGAAGACCAAGCTGTTGTCTTCAGGAATACAATGGTCTTCTCCTGTGTTACTTTGGTCTCCAGACATCTTGACAGAGTAAGAGTTGGAACGGATGCTGCAGAGAGAGGACAGCAACACAGGTAAAACATTATGAAATGCTATGTTATATGGAACACAGCGATATAATTCATTGTCAATAAAACTCATAATGCAAAAGCTGTTGCTGTATTTCCAGTTCGTTCCTAATAAATAAACACTGTGGCAAGTTCAGGCACAGAACCTGTTTTGGTGACTCCTGAAAGAAAATCTTTTTTTATTTTTTTATTTAATGAACTTTTCTCACCATCTCTAAATCCTTACTAAAATTCAAAAACAATGCCATCACTTATTCAATTCAGGGAGTGTGGGAGGAACCCAGAGTACCCAGTGAGAGGATAGAAACACTATGCAAAAGGTCCCCGACTGGATTTGAACCCAATAGCTTTGTACTTTGAAGCAGCAGAGCTTACCACTGCACAACTGTACTGCCAAGCATAACACTGAAGTTGCTCTAGGCTCATCCAATTAGACAACTTACTATGATGCACAACGTATTTTCCTTCTATTTCTTATAAACTTTAATCTACTTTCTACCATAGTTTGTGTTTTCCTTTGCTTACCCATGAACCACTTGTTTCTCTTCTTTTTCCACTCATCTCCCAACTATTCACAGTAAAGATGGCTAGCCCTTCCTGAATCGGGGTTTGCCAAAGGTCTCTTCCTGTCTCAAAGAAGTGTTTCCCCCCAGGGACTTGTATGCGTGTCAGGTTTTTCTCTATCATAGTCTTCATCTTTCACTATAAAGACCTTAAGGGAACAGTTTGTGCAAACTGGTGCTAAATAAATAAAAATCAACTGATTTTCCCCCTTGCCTAGACATTTAAAATAGTAAACAAACAAACAAACAAAAAAAACCCTCCTCAAAAAATAAAAAAAAACCCTCAATCTTTCATAGAATATCAATTTTCTATGAAAATCTGGTGTTAATGACAGATAATTGATATCTTGAGTATCATCAACACCAACAATAACTCAAACACTCAATTCTCCAAAGGGTTGCGAAACTTTGTTTTTGTTGCTTTTAAAACTTTTTTTGTATTAAAAGTACTTAATTCTAACTCCCCCCTGTCCCCCACGCCTATGTAGTATTTTGTATTTGTTTTTGCACATAAACGATAACAATCCAAAGGTATTCACATTTTGAACTTACTGCGGTTCAGCAAAACAGAAACCACATTGAATGCAGAACTTTTCCATATCTGTCACTTAACGCTGCATAATATGAAAAGCAATTGCACAAAAGGATGATTAACGGTTATCAGCACCAATCCAACAACATTTTGCCTGCATGTCGCCTCCACTGTATAACTGCGGGGCATCGACAGTTTCTGTATGTTTTCTGAGCAGCTTTAAAACAATTTTAACTGAAATGCATGAACGCTTAAAAACAAAACAAAGTGGCAAAAAACAAAAACTCGTCATCATATGTGTGTGTTTGCATTAGTCTAAATGTTTAATCGTACTTACTCGTTTTGGTTAAAGGTTCTCAAAACGCTAAACGTGTTGAGACAAATCCAGTTAAGAATCTGCAGTTACACCTGACAGAGTTCATAACCTGCACAGCCAGAATATTAACTCAAAACTTTGTTATTTGTCACAAGTAATGATATAAAGCAGAAAACACTTTTCATTATAAAACATTATGCACACTGTTAAGTTGTAGTTATGATTTATTTAACCTTAAACTGCAGAAGAAAAAAGGTAAAAAAAAAAAAAAAAAAAAAAAAAGGAAAGAGAAAAAAAAAACACAGACAGAAAAGTAAAAAACAAGTTTGTTCATACCTTGTACGCAAGAGTCTGTCCTCTAGGTAAAAAAGAAAGCGTCCCAAAAATCAACTATACACATCCAACACCTTGTGCTACTGACTGTGGCTGTCGCTGACTTCGAGGGGAAAGTAAACCGATGGCTCGCGCTGCTGCCACACACTTCGGTCAATCCCTCCCTTTTCTCTGTTTAAGTACCGTTGTGGTACGGAGGGCCTAACGTGCCGGAATGAAATAAATAAACATTTCAGCAAATAATTTTGTCATTAATTCAACGGAAATTATATATATATATATATA